GGCTCTGGGCTTGTCCCCAGAGTGGCGTGGGACATTGGCGTGCAGTATCCCAATCCCTGGAGCGCTATGAGGAATCCAGTTGCTCCTAGTTGCTCCCAGTCTGCTGTGGCCGGGGGAAGGCAGGAGTTTTCAGCTGCTTTCCGCTAGCATCATCCCTTGGTCAGGGCCAGGGAGATGAGGAGAAGCTGGGCATGGAAAACCAGGGAAGTGCTGGAATGCTGGGCCTGAAGTAACGGGTTTCAGTGGATTTGTTGTTGATGGTTCTCCTTAGGGGTTCCAAATAGGGGGAGAATCAGAGTGAGCCCACTCTGGAGCTCTTCCAAGGGCCTGTGTCCAGCCAGAGCCTGTCCCAGATATGGTGTTGAGTTGCCATTCCAGTGTCTCTGGCAGGGCAGAGCCAGACTCGGATGCTCCAATGCTGGGCCTGAAGTAACGGGTTTCAGTGGATTTGTTGTTGATGGTTCTCCTTAGGGGTTCCAAATAGGGGGAGAATCAGAGTGAGCCCACTCTGGAGCTCTTCCAAGGGCCTGTGTCCAGCCAGAGCCTGTCCCAGATATGGTGTTGAGTTGCCATTCCAGTGTCTCTGGCAGGGCAGAGCCAGACTCGGATGCTCCAAATTGTCTGCTTTTTTTTTTTTTTTAAAGGAAGGTGAATGCCTTGTGATTCCAATGCCATAGGCCAACTTGAAAGGAAAGGGGGAAAAATAAATGCATTTAAAAGTCAATATTTACTTAGCAATTGGCCATCCCCCTCCCCCAGCCTGGCTGCATACCTGCGGCTTCTCCGTCGGGAATGGCCGGGAGCTGTGTCGGTTCTGGAAGCGCTGGAGCAGGATCTGGTTTGAATCTTCCCGTTCGGAGGGGGCCGGATGGAAGAATTGCAAAAATGCATTTGAACTGTTTTGGGATCGTGTATTTAAATGCAAAACAAACAGCTGAGCCTTCCTTTCCTTTTCCCCCTGGAAAAATGTGCCTCAAACCTGAGGGTTTGGTATTTTAAATGTCTGTTATTACCCAGTTGGTTCAGCTTTAGGGAGCTAAAGGACCTGGAGAATTTAGATGATTTGGGGCTTTAGGATCAGCCTCAGGCCCCAGCTCTGGGATGAGGGAGTAGGATGGAGCCCCGGGACACAGAGCTCTGGGCTTTGTCCTTCCCAGGGCCTGTCCTGTGGCTGCAGAGAAATTCTGGGACATTGGAAGTCTGGAAAACACAGAAAAAGAACAAATCCTGTTTTTTTTCTCTAATTCAGGGTCTAAAGATGGATGACGTAGAGGGGAGAAATGAAGCATGAGGTGACTCTCTGGTTGACACTGTGTGAAATGTGGTTGAATTTGTGTGTTGGGTGACACTGTGCCACAGGGTTCCGAGCTGGCACTGGGAGGGATCCCAGGATCCGGCAGGGCGCACGGGTTTGGCTCTGACTGGGAAGAATGGCCATGGCCTTGTGGTGTGCTCCAGCCTTGATCCACAGGGAGGGATGGTGAAGAGGAGGGATGTTGGGATGAGGACATGGTGTTCCTCTGGCTGATGTGACAAAGAAAGACCAAAATTGGCCAAAACACAACAACCTGCCTGTTTTGGGGTGCTGTGGCTGTGCAAGGTGGGGATGGGAGGAACACGGGGTGGGATTATTTCCCTCCAGAGTGGGTTTATTTCCCTCCTTCCCATGCTCTCTTCTCCCCCAGAACATCTGGTTTGCGGATCGTGCCCGTTCCCAGCCCGTGTTTATGGCGAGCGCTGTTTCCTTTGCGGAGGCGCGGCCGCCGCCTCCTCCCGAGGAGAGAAGGAGGAGCTGGGCTGAGGAGGAAGCACGGATCACTCCAGGAAGGAGTTCCTTCATATTTTTGTGCTTTCCTTCCAGCCTGTTCAGGTTTTTATGCTGTACTCATCCATGCACCGAAGGTCACTTGGCCTCTGCTCCAGGACCTGCTCCCTGACCCCCTCACCAGTCCGTTGCATTGTCCACGTCTTATTTTAAACAAAACCCAAATGTTTTTGGGTGGTTTTCTTCACCAGCTCTTGTCCCAACCTGTCACAGTCCAGCACAAGGCCTCCAGGTGTCCATGGGATGCTGCTGGGCTCTCCATCCCCATCCCACCTGGGAAGACCCCACTGGGGTGTCTGCTGCTGCCTTGGCCCAGAGAAGAGCAGTCCCCTTTCTTGCACCCAGATAGCCTTTTTGGGGCCATTTATTTGGGAGGGGCATTTGGGGAGAGGGGGGTTGCCTGTTGTTTAGGCCCTTTTTTGGGGGCCTTTTTTTTTTTTGCCATTTTTGGGACCTTTTTTTTCCCTGTATTTTGAGGCCATTTATTTTGCCACTTTTTGGGCCTTTTTTTGGTCATGTTTTTCCCTTTTTTTGGTCACTTATTGCCCCTTTTTTTGGTTATTTTTTGCCCTTTTTTGGTCATTCCCCCCCTTTTTTTGGCCATTTTTTAGCCCCACCTTTCCCCCTCTGTCCCCTTTGAGTCCCTCTTGAGCTGGGGTCTCTCCTCTGGCTGCCAAGGCGGGACATGTCCCCGCAGCTGCCCCGGCCCCGCTCTGAGCTGCCCATTGTGTGTCGATGAAGGCGCCTTTATTCCCGATCCCGGAGCTGGAGCTCCGCTCGCCGCTGCCATCGCTGCTGCTGGGGTGGGCGCCCGGCCTGGGCAGGAAATTTGGCTCCGTGTGAAGGATGCATGAACAGACACCTTCTCTAATTGTCCACCTGGCACTGAGGCACCGCGCCGCGATCGGGGGCATTGAACTCGCCAGGAACACGCTGTGCGAGGACAGGGAGTGCGTGGGGCTGCCGAGGAGCCCGGAGAGCTGCTGCCGAGTGGGAAGCGATCTCCTTCCCTCCTCCCCCTGCTCCAAGCTGCCGTCGTGCCAAAGCTGCTCTGGTAGATGCGATGCCTTGTGCTGCCGAAGGTGTCTTTGTGTTAGGGAATGGTGGTGGAGGTGGTCTGTGGTGGTGAGCGGCAGGATGGCTCCCTGGGATCGTCCTGCCCGGATCATCACCCCTTTGGAAGGGCAGGTGTTCTCGGTGTGTGTGGTCCATGATGCACGTGCAGCCTGGCAAAGCATGTATGAGCGATGCGTCAGTGCTTGGAAGACATCCCACATGTTCTGCTCCTGCATTCGGGAGAACCTGCTCTGCTCCAGTCGCAGAACTGTGACCGCTCGGCCCAGAGAACCTAGTGCTGTGGGATGACCTCTTCAAGCATCCCCTGAGCATCCTGTCTCTGGGATTGGTGTTTCCAGTGCAAAACAAGCTTATGTCCTGGCTCTGGTTTCCCCTCCTGTGAGCACCTGGGATGAGGCAGCCAGCTGGGAATGGCTTCCTGGGGATTTGCCCTCCTGCTTTGGATAGTGAAGCTCAGATGGGGCAGGTGATGGTGGCTGCTGTTGGCCCATGGGTCACAGGTGCCAGTGGCCGCAGCAGCCAGAGGTCATATTGTGGCTGCCGGAGATCTGGGAGTCTGATGAAGAGCAGGAAATCCAAGGGAGTGTCAGTTCTTTGCTGTGGTTTTCTTAATGAATCCTGCGTTGGGTACGCTTGTGTCTAGGAGATGGAGACGGGAGATGCGCTCTGCCCAGAGGAGGGGGCGGTGGGGCTGGATTCGGAGGAGAGATGGAGCAGGAGGTGCCTGTCCCTGAGCCTGGTGGCAGGAAGGGAACAGGCTTGGTCTGCGGGTCACTTCTGGCCTAGGGAAGGTGGAAGGGGAGGATCTGCTCATCACTGGGGATGTTCCATCCATTTTGATCTATCCAGTCTCCAT